AAACCACAGGAAGTATAAACTGCTTTAGAATCTTTAGGTCCTTTGTGTCAAAGGAAGTAAAAACATTTTCATTTATGAGATGGGATGAATCCTTTCAGTGTTATAAAAGTTATGAGAAAGAGGAGAAGCAGGTCAGGAAGAAATATTTGATACCTCATCTGGCTACCCATGAAGTAGGACATGGATTTGGTGGCAGGCACTGCTAGATTGCATATGGAATTGTGTCCTTCCCATGAAGTCGACTGTCTCTGAGCAGGATCAACAGCCATGAATTCACACCTTGTTCCTGGTGGGATATGTGATACTGTCTGTATCTTCTTCAGAAGATCTGAGGGACTGTGGGCAAATCTGCTTTGGCCATGTGAGATGGAATGGGGATAAATACCGAATAACAGAATAAACAAAGATAGGAAAAAAACCAAAAAACAAAGATCAAAACCTTAGGTGTTTTGTTGTGAGGATGAGAAATATGTTTGAGCATATTCAAGAATATAATTTTGTGAAGTATTGGAAAGAAAACTACAAAGTGGAATCAAAGAATGGAGAGGCTGAAAGAAAATGAAGAAAATGCTAAATTAATAATGAGGTCACCTATTGTACAAAAATCTTACCTCCTAAAATCTTTTTGAGCTCTCCTGTCAACCCCATCTCATTTGCATTGAGAGAGGTTAAAAAGGAGATGTCAGCTGTGCACAGGGTATCAGGGCATGAGAGGATGTGCACCTTGTGCAGTATACTTGGTCAAACTGCAGTGTAGTGCTGGCACTGGCCCAGAAGGATGAAAAGTACTGGCTTATGTTGATAAGCAAGTATTAATGAAGCAGTGTGAGAGATCAGAACGAATGATACAATCCTTGGCTCTCTAATTGGCATTAGCCTCGAGTCACTGAGGGCTTCTTGTGACAGGTACTGCATATATGTCTGCATAAATACTTACATGCCCATATACACATGCAAAGAACAGGGAGGAGAACTTTGGGTTAAAGATTTATGAAAATTTGAAGTATATCCACAATATGTAAGATTGGTATTCTTTCTTAGCAATGGCTGTAATGCCACAAAATGTGATTAATGGAACTGAAAAGATAAAGACCAAAGAAAGTGCGAAAGGAGGGAGAGTGATAGTTGAGGAAGAAAATAGACTGAAAGACACTGGCAACTGGTCTGATATAAAGTATATCAGTGTGGAAAAATTAGGAGAAAAATAGCAATTCCAACTCTACCTGTAGGTGTTAATCCTCTGCCACTGAGAACAGCTTTATGGACTTCAAAGATCATAGACTGTTGCCTTTGCAGGATTAAGACAAATAATGCATTAATTGAGTTTCCCATTCATTTCAATTTAAGTAGCTATCAGAAAACACATTAAAGAATGTCTTCTGAGAGAGTTGATTTCAGGGTTGTCCAGTGTAAAAAGAGATTGTAGTGGAGCATCTTTCCTCCACTATGTGCAACCACATCATAAAACAACTTAAAACCTTCATGCTCAGAAGCCTACAGAGAAAAAAAAAACAGACAAAAATTTCAATTTGAAGTTAATTCTTAGTTTACTTTTGCAGCTGCCTACTGTCACCTTTATTAGTGATGACTTTGCTGAAAGAGCAGTGCCCCTGTCAGTCTCGTACACTGGAAGGACTATGTCGAAGAGAGCAGGTTGACTCAGCAAGTGTAGGACCAGCAGACTGGTTGCAGCCAATTTCAGCAGGAGAATCTGAAAGTTATTATATAACTTGCTCTGCAACCTGTTCAGCAAAACAGATGGAGAGTAGAAACAGATGCAAGGGCAAGAAGGAATAAGAATACAAGAGTAGTAGGACAAAGAGGGGAGCATCATAAAGGGGCAAATTGAAAAGTGAAGAAGAAGAGATAAAAGAAGAGAAATCAAGAGTTGATAGAAAACTCCTGGACTGTCTTATAGAAATATAATTGCTGTAATTTTAGTAAGTTTTATCTTGTAGTTCCTTGCATTCAAAATACTCACTGAGAAAAACCCCAAAATGAGCCACAAAACCCAGAAAGAAAACACCCTTGCAATTTTACAGTATCATCCATATTCATTATCACATATAAAATCATCAATATTGCAAATTTGGTAGAATGTAATTTCACTTTGAAAATCTTATTTATTCAGAGAAATTCTAGAATAGTTTTACTGAAGGTCAGTGAAGTTACTTTTATTAAGTGTAATACAAGAATACTATACTGCTAAGTATTTTGGAGAGATTACTAGTATTTCCTAGCTTTTGCTGGTATTTGTATGTATTGTTTAGTATAAGTTGGTGTATGGTGGTTAAAATAACCCATCTAATTATCATTCCTACATTACTAATAATTTATTTAGTTTTTCTTGTGGTCCACATTCTTGTTACTCAGTAATCCCTTTAGGAAATATTTATTAAAGGTTTTGAGTGCAGTTATCATTCTGTATGAACTGGTTAGATTACTTCTTTTTACATCTGTTCACATGTAATATTTAGTGAAGTCTCTACATACTATCACTGTAGTCTTCTCTAAAGTCTTCCAGAATAAAAATGAGGGTTCTTCTCATTGCTCACCAAGACTTTAGAATAAGTCCATTAACAAATCTGTGCTGTAGTTTCTCCTACAGCAAGGGTACACTAACCAAGAAAGAAAGATAAATTCAGTTTATTTAAGACAAATCCATGCTAATTGTGCATTTCTGTGATAACATTGGCAGGATAATTTGCTAAGAATTTGATCTATGTTCTCACACTATATTTCAAGATCAGAGAAGGATAACATTAAAAAGTGCACCACTAAGGAAAAATAGTAATCTAATTTTACTGAAGATGAACAAAATTAACCTTCATTTGAATATGCAAGCACTTATAGCGTTTGGCAACTCAAAACTGTCCTCTGAGGACACAGAAGGCAGTGATGAAACTGCTTATATTCCAGCTCAAAACTTTATTCTTGAAGGCTTTTACACATGAGTAGGTGCTAAATAATAATAATAAGCAGAGACTGAAACAAACTGCTGGTATCTGAAGGGTGTCAATGCAGTCAAGATAAAGAACTGGGAGCTCTTCAAGTGAGTTGGGGTGTGACAAAATCTGTGCTGATGAATGCTGACATCCTGAATAAAATCACTACATGGCTTCACGTAGGTCAAGAAACTACATTGTTTCCCTGAGCCACAATGACAGCAGGGTGACAGAGATTAATAGCTTTGTATTGACTGAGCAACTTCCAGTTCCTTATCTTTGTCAAGTCAAGGCTCTGTCCAAGAGCTGAAATTGTTATTAGACTTATAATTGCAAAGACATTTAAAGGGTTTCCCCTTAAGGGACTATGAAATCCAATAAACCTTTCATAAAACCTCAAGCATTCAAGTGCAAAACCCTTGTCTCAGAGACAGGCACGCTCACATCCATAACAGGGGAAACCTTGAAGCCTTGTACATTGAATAATGTTTGATTTATGAAGTTGATTCTGAATCCGTATCAGTTATTTTATTAAAAATATATGAAAGAATGTTTTAAATATGAGTGAGCTGTGTTCACTTCTGTCTTGATCAAGTATTCCATGTGCCTGAGCTGGAGGTCTTTCTTCATCTGTCACTTAGATTCGTGAGGGCTCAGAAATACTGATTTTGTATTGCTAATTTGAGATGGTTAATTCAATTTGGATAAGATTAAATCTCAATTTCTCACTGAAATTTCAAAATAGAAGCTGTAGGATCAGGCTTGGATTTCTTTATTATTGTTGATTTGTAAGGAAGTGTTTGCAGCATGTAAAGAGCTTTCAGTACTGTATGTCAGATTTACTCAATGAACCTATTTGAATGAGAGGATGGAATGTTTTCAAGGAGTAGATTAAATACTTATCTCTGTGGCTTAGTTAGAGTCTCTTCCAGTACAACAGTGTAAATTGAGAAGATGGCACTGGCCTCAGGAGACACCAGTTTTTCTTTTGTTTAAGAGACTTGAGCTTTTCTTGGAAATGATTGTGGTTTGGCAGTAATCCATTTTGTGCCAAATTTTCTGTTATTCTGTTTATTTACTTCCTTCAAAGCTTAAAGGGCTTGTCTTGATGCCAGTCATAATAATGGTAACTGCAGTCATTTGGCAGCAGAGCAAATGATATTATATGGTGCAAAGCTAGGTAGAATCTGCCCTTGATTTTAAAGAAAAGAAATCTCATAAAACTCTTGTGCTGTGTTTTGTTTTGTTTTATTTTCCAAGACATTAAGAAATAAACAGCTGACATAATTAAAAACTACATCTTAATAGTGATAATCAGATTTAATAGCCACAATATATTTAGGCACATGCCTTTTATCATTTCATTAATTCTTCAACAAAGCTGAGTGTCATTCTCTAGAATTACTTACTCCAAGCTATACAGATCTCTATTGAGATGTCTGCAGCCACCACTTACTGCTCTCCAGGTATTTCAGAAGGTATTGGTATGTGTTATCTCCTCATTTCAGTAATAACTGTGCTTGCCACCTCTCCTAGCTATAAGCCTTATTCTAGGAGCATTGGAGTGATATGGAGATTATGCCTGATCTTCTAGTTTGCTTCAGAGAAGACATTTAGAGCTTTTTGAAAATCAGAAAATATTTTAGTTTTAGGGACTGTAAACCTTAGCACTGAAGTGACTCTACTGCATCTTTGCATTGACCGGGACATCCACTGTATTATATGAAGGCTTATTTCTTTGTTGTGTGTTCACTTAATTCACATGCATGTTTTAGGCTAATGCTACCATTATCAGATCCAAACCTTTCTTTCCCCTACCTGAGGAAGAAGGATGTTGTGAGAACTTAGTTAGAACTCTCTTGTGCTATAAAAGAGCATTATGTACATATTGTCAAGGGCAGAAAAGAATGGAAACATTTCATGCACTTGTAGCAACTCACTGAGGCTGGTGTAGGTAGTGAAGGTTCAGTGTAGGGCACAATAACCAGAATGTTAGTCCTATTCAATTAGGGATTTTTGGTATTTTCCCTGTTGCCTACACCCTGTTTCCTACAGGAAAAAGTTCTCGAGGAGTAAACAGGAAGGAATTAACAAACTGGAATGGATGCAAACTGGAAGAAGTAATAGAAAAGTCTGAGGTATGAGGGGAAACTGAACAAACCCCTAGTGTTTCTATCTGGTGCTTTGGAGCCCATGGAAAAAGGACTAATATCATTAAACTGTCTGAGTATTTCTGTAAAGATTGGATTTATTACGCTTTTTTCCTTCAGTGTTTTTCATATATCAGTGTCAAAGCCAAGTATATTGCCACAAATTAACCTGCCTTTGTTACTCAATTTTGAGAAAAAAAAATTAAGCAGTAAAAATGTGACTTAGATAAAACTGTAATCAGTTAAGTTAGCCACTGGCAGAAGAAGAGCAGTTCAGCCATCTCTTCTCTTGTTGAATGTTTACCAGAAATTTTATATTTATGTATTATATTTTGTATATGTTCCTGTATATACTCAATAAGGACCCTCTGGATGCTCATTCACACGAATATGCTGTGCATTTTCTGTCCATAATTTGCCTAAGAAAGAAATTTAAAAAGACATCAATATGTATATCCCTAAGTTGTTTGGATACTGTGCTGTTTTGTAGTTTTCTTATCAGAATTTTTGCCTGTTAATGCAGGTCAAGAAGTCAGAAGCTGGCACCCTATTGATCAAACTGCAACAACCACTGGAGTGAACAGCCCAGCCATGTCTGTAAAGTACACTTCCAATTTTTAAACCAATTTTGAATTTGAATCCTGAGGTAATAGCTTTTGGCAAATAATATAAAAACTACAACCTGGTTGACTACTTAACTCAGCATAAAAGGCCAGTTGGCAGCTGCCTTGTGATGAATAATCTAAAGGTGGGAGAGTAATTGCAGCAGTTTCTTGCTCTCAATTTTTTGTTACATTCTTTTCCATGTTCTTTTATATTGGTTCATCTGTAGAGTCATGTTTCTTAATTGTGGTTAGACTGATTTATTTATTGGAATAACCACTTAAAATTCTAGGAGCTTCTTTAACAAAAGCTCTCATTACAAATCCAAAGGACAAACTGTAAATAATAAACTAATATTTTAGTAGCTACATTTTGTTTTACAGATGCAATTATCAGTTTTAAAAAACATTCATTTTAGAAATTGTAGTAACAAAAGTTTAAAAACTATCTACTTTTTTTTTTTAATATCTGGAGGGGACAATTAGTAATTTCAAGTTCTGTTCAGCTGTGAGCTTTGTGGATGTATTCAGAAAACCCATTTCATTTTGAACTTTGTTATCTGTGAAATCTAGATATGAAGCTTGTATTTCAAGATACATTACAAACATAAGCAGGTTTAATAGCCACTCAAGATTTTACATGGTGCTTTTACAACATATTCTTACCTTATGTGGAATACAGAAAAACAGTGGTGTGGCCAATCAGCAATTGGATACCTCCCTGTTTGTCATTCCCCGCAGAATCTTACCAAAGCTCAAGGATGGCAACATCCTGTAGGAAGAAGAATTTCCTAGAATGAATAACTAATTTATAGTAAAAACTTCAGGGTTCATTCTACAATTGCACTTTGTCAGTAGTACTAGGAATCAGTTATGGTGGTCATTTGATCATTTATCCCAAGGGATGATTTATTATGGATAATTTTTTCTGCAGCTGGAGATATTCAAAGCCCTGGCAGCAGCCTGGGATCTGAATCCTGCCCAGCTGAAAACCAACGTGGTGTGAGTGCAGCTTAGGTGATCTCACACATCTCATGCCATTACCTTTCCTCTCTGGTTACCTCTTATTTTTGTAGCCAAAGGGGATCTGAATGACACATTAAGTATCTGTGATCTCATGAAATAGAAATAGTGATTGGTGTGTATAATGAGAGGCCATATTAATGGGGTTTTTGTCCTGTAGTCAGTGGGTATCCTACTGTCACCACCACGGAGAAGCCAGCATTTCCTGATAGTTATTATGTAGTGAGAGCTGTGGCAACCACGGCTTTCTCTTCACTGGTCAGGAAATATTGGCACTAACCCTGCAGTTAGAAGCAGTCTGGTAAATTTTGATTAAAATCTTATTTTTTAATAGCTTTATCTGTGGGGGTTTTTATTGTGGTGGTTTTCTGGGGTTTGGTTTTGGCTGTTTTTTGATTTGAAGTTTTCATCATTCCACAGGTGAAAAACATTCAGTGGGTTATCTCATTATGTGAAATAAAGAGCATTGGCAATTTGCTTCATTAATATTTTTGAAATATATTCAAGCAAGCAGTTGATACTGAGAATAGTCCAGGCCTGTGCAAAGCAGTTCTAACACTTGTTTGATATTGTTTTCTTGTTTATCCTGACATGGATTTTAGTCAAGCTGCTGAGTGCAAATGAGGTTTGTCAAGTTATCAAATTTTCCTTTTTAAGTTCCAGAGGGAGCTACAAAACAGTTGTACTCCATTCATAGTCATATTAATCTGACTGTAGAGAACTATAGAAAAATGGGAGAGAATAAGATAGAATTCATTGCACTTTTATCACAGGATAACATGAAGATTCTTCAAAAAATTTCAATGGAAGAAGAAAGAGATGAAAAAATAAAACCAGGCTATTTTCTCTTCCAATTTCTTTTTCTTCAGCTGGCACTTAATTTAAAAAGCCTTAAAGGATCATAATTATCAAGGTAAAAAGAATTCCTGTTTTATAATAGCATAAAGGGTTTCTTCTTCTTAGTTTTGGTAATACAAAACTTGAAAGATTGCAGAAAATGACCTTATATTCCTAAACTGCTGCAGACATTATTTATTGCAAAAATAATACAAAGCTAGAAAAGAATTGTTCTTATTGATTATTGATATTGTTTTTTCAGTATAACTGAAACCTAATTTTGGACTCTGTAGCTACTGAATAAATGTGATACATTTACCAGATGTATGATCAGAGGTGATTCCTGCCCTGAAGACTTAATAGCTCTTGTGATTCAGTGACTTGCACAAATATAAATCACAGCAAGGCAATACATTTTCAATAAATCTGGCACTGCACTGTAAATCGTGATGCAGGATGAGGATATGATGGATCATGGGATTGGTAAGGCTTTGTTAGGTCAGAGCCTTATTTAAAATTGGGGACCACAAGGAGAGGTAATAAACCTTATGAGGGACAGGAAATGCAGCTGCCTGTAGCAAATACATGAAATCATGTGTGTCACCTCCATGCACGAGTCCATGTTTAAATTCAACTGAATTTGCAAAGATATTTGAAGCTATGATTGTTACAGCTTTGTAATATTTAGTGTCCTTCAGGAGAAGAAAAGGGGGAAGGAAAAACAGGAAAAATGCTGTGAAAATATTTTGTGAAGAAAAACTTTTGACCTCTCTATTGATTGTTAATATTTTTCTTAATATGGAAAGTAAGAAACAATTTATTTTCAGAAAGTATTGACTTCAAGGATCCTAGGTCTTGGAGGAGAATATTTATTAGTTTATATAATCAAAATGATGAAAATTTTTCTTTTTCTGTAGCCTTAGCTCTGTTTCTTTCTTAAAAGTAATAAACACTGTACACAGGAGTATTGCTGAAGTAGACTTCTGATACCAGCCTGGGGTGTTGGATATAGTTACATTGCTCTGGGAAAAAATACTGGTGTTTTATGAGTATTTCTGTAAATGAAAATGCTGGAGAGAAGGTGGGGGAAGGGAATGGTATTTGAGATACCATTTAAAAATTGTCTGAATGTGTGGCATTGCTTCTCACAGGATACCTAGGTGAACAGAATATTTTCAATATCCTTGTTTTACCAGAAATGTTTTGCTAGATGCAGATTATTATTATGTGTGGAGGGCTTCAAGTTATATTGCTTTGCTTCTTCTTTAGCTTTCTTTTTTCTCTGCAGTTGGTCAGATTCCTAATTTCACTGTACATATGAACATGTGCCCACCCACTCGGTGACAGATGAGACAGTGCCATGTGGGACACACTTCCAAATCAAATGGGATTAGCTAAGGTATAAAAAAGGTCAAGAAGAGTTCCAGCACTTGTATTGACTTCACTGCTATTACAATTTATGTGAGCAAAAAGTTTATTTCAACTTTTTCTGCCTTTCAGCCTTGCATATTTTAGCTGCTGTTTTTAAAGTGAAAATGGGCCCTCTACAATATGAGTATCATCAGTACTAATGAGGATGTTTCAGACCAGATCAAACTCATGTTCAAATAACTCCCTTAATATTCCCATGGTCACCCCAGTGGGCTAGAAGAAGGATTAATACAAAGCCTGTTCAAAAGAAAAGTCATAATCAAACATCTTGCTTCAATTAATTTTCAGCTTGGTCAGATTTTGACCCTGGATTTGCACTGAGACAAGCAACAGAGTAGGATATAGCAAGTACTTTGGAATTAATTTTTTTAGAATTTGCTGTAATATATATATCTATCTATCTATCTATCCTTTTTTATTACTCCATTTAGCTATTTACATATTAGTCTTCAATAATAACTTTAAGGCATGGTAGTAGTATGTTAAAGGTTATTGTATAAGGATATTTTTGATAACAGCCTTTGGACTCTACTGGAAAGTAAAGACTAGTGAAAGCACAAAGTATATTTAAAATAGAGTAAATATGGTAATATTGGTAATCAAAATGGGTGGGTGCTGAAACAAACAAACTTGAGTTATTAGTCTTTTGCAGAACTGATGCAGATGTTGATTTGAAATGATCTATGATTATCTGAAATTCATGAACTGATATCTGATAAGTTAATAACTCAATAGAATATATCCCAGATATCTGAATTTGGGAGCAAACTAGTTAAAGAACCACCAATGTTGCTGAGTATAAACAGCTGGATTTGCATTAAGAGAAAAGATGGTTATGGTCTAAAGATCCTTTTGAAAGTTGACAGTCAAAACAATGAAGAAAACAACATTGTCCATTACAGAGACAGAAACAAGGGCTGACTGAAGCTTTACTTTAGAATAGTTGTTGCTGTCTCAAGAACAGTTTGCTTTAAGTATAGGGGAAGAGTTCCATCAAAAAAAATTACTGTTGTTAAGGCTTAATGTAACAATTGCAACTGAATATTCAAATATTTGTCATTAGGAAAAAAATGTAGAACAGCTTAGTTAATTGCCTCATTACTGGGAAATGAAGCAATATTATTGTTGTTACCACAAGGAATTTTTTTTGCAACGGGGGCTAATATTGTTGGGAGTTTGTTATGGAATTATGATACATTCTAAATATATTTAAAATGCTGCAAATTTTCATGTATTCCAGCTGACATATGTAGCCAATAATTTCCATCACAGCATCTCTGTGGAAATTGAACAAAATATCTTGATAGGAACAAAATTAACACAGGTCACACATCACTCCATATGGCAAGTCATTGTGCCAAGACAACTCAAGGTGCTTTGTAGTAGATGGAAAGTCACTAACAAATACCTTTCGCTGTCAAACAGTGTTTCTGTTATCTAAAGGAAGTTTGACATCCATGTCTTCAGCCAAGATCCATCAGTGGTTTTCCATTACTTTATTACATTAGCTTAATCTGACCTAGAAGAAAATATAGATGCCTAAGCACAATCTTTGTTTGTATCCTTGTGTACTCACCTCTAATACCTTGAAAAGGAGGAAAATAGTTGGCATTGGAATGTTTAAAAATAATAATTATAAATTCTTCCAGTGCTTGACCTTTACATACTCAAGTTCTCTCCCTGCCCCTTCTTTCTCATTTCACCTGTGAGAAAATGGCCATTTATTACTTTTGGATCATGTATGGGAAGCTGCCTTCAACATTACCTCCCTTCAGCTTTGCCTATGAATGTTCACTGAGAGCAAGGATGTTTGTTTTTCTTCTGGCTGATCCACACACATCAGGCTGCAGAGTGAGGTTCTATGATAAAGCCAGTCCAATTCAGCCTCAGTATCACTGAAAAGAAATTTCCTCACTGAACTTCTACCCACAGGGTTCAAATTTGATTTCATCCCAACTACATACTTTACACAATACTATCTAAAAAAGCACTGCAAACCCTATACTGGATCCATGATTATCTCTGGAATTATTAAACCCCATAATGCTGCTCCTAGCAGTTTCCTGCTATATTCTGCATGCAGGTTTAGGACCACTGTTTCTGAAAATACTTCATAAATATGAAACCCACATTTTGATGTGGATGTAAAATCAAACATAAGCATGCACTATTTGCCACTAATTTCTGGTTTGCTAAATTCACATATTAGTTCTTAATTTGGTTTTCAAGAGATATCTTGCTATATTTCAACTTCTCTAGCACCTTCTGCATGAATAACCTGACTGTGTGCTATGGCATTCCTAAATTTGGAATTTAGTTGTTATTCTTCAAATAGCATACAAAAATTAAATAAATGTGTTTGATGGGGTATTGACAGCAGTTGTCCTAGTTGTGTTTGAATGCAGTATGGTTTGGCATTGCTCTAATCAGACTAATCACATCCCAGAATTTTGGAGATGTCATTTATGTAGCAACTTAGGTAAAAGCATAGTGCATGTTTTTATTCAGTGGTGATTGTAGGAGTATCACCAGAGGAAAGCTAAATACTTTCTGTGAATCTACAACCTATACATTTCTCATAAGACTTAGTGATTTGCTCCTTATGGAGTTCAAGTGACTTTGAGTTCGAAAGAATTTTTTGTTGGCCTAACTGAGCACTAAAAATAGCCTATATGTTATTCTGTCCACTTACACCTATAAGTAAACAAACATATAAAATACCCATATAGAAAATAAATTTTAAAAATGGAAGTGAAATAAGATCAAACACAGTGTGGTATTGACAAATATTGTGTAAGTTTATATATATCTTATACAGATCTTATCTTACTGGAAAAACTAATAATTTGTATGCCTTTTATATACAATTTGTATGCCTTGTATACCTTTAATATTTCTTTTCTTCTATTATATAAAAAAGTGCTTTGCAAAATATTTTGTGAGGTTCTCAGAATTAAAATTTCCCAGATTATGCATTCACAGTAGCACCAAGGAGCAAGAAAGATTTCATGTTCCATTTTTTCCCTTTGGTCTGTTTGGTAAGGAATAGACTTGACACCCATCCTCTTGTTATCCTTTATGTGAACCTGCCTGTTCCAACTTTGTAATCTCACAGATCAGGATTAACTTTCACTATAAGCTGCATTCATTTTAGGGGGATTTGCTCACAATATTGAAAGACAGGATGATATAAATGGATTAGAACTCCTGGGTCTTGCTCCCCATCTCATTCCCATTGTGCTTTGATCTTCTTCAGGAAGATCTGTTTCAGAATGAGAAAAGACTCTGCCCATTAAGCGTGAAAAACCTCTGATGTTTGATGCAAGGAGAGCATCTGCCATGTTAATAGATTTGTCAGTGAGCTAAATGCAGAGGTACTAGCTTTTGTTCTGGATTTGTAAAGTGCCTAAAAAAACCCCAACAAATTAAAGAAAGTACTGATGCACAACTGAAGCTCCTGAGAATGTTTTCTATTTTGCTGCCTTTGATGGGAAGCTGGCCCTATGAAAATTAGAAGGTGTATAAATGCTATTATTGTGACACTCAAATTCCTAATATGCTACCTATTTATCTCCAGTCTGTGATTGATTGATGAAGGGTTCAAAACCTATCTGTTGAGAGAGTTAAAATATGGGTCAATGCTCCAACTGTTGGTTTGCTCAGAGGCTTGGGCTTGTTTCCTCCACAAACACATATGCTCCCTCCCCTTAAAAGTCAAATGTCATTTGTCTGCCTCTGAATGATAGCATTGCAACTAAGTTATTCTTACCAGAAAGCCTAAATTTAACAGAGCTGAGCCTAAAGATTTAACAGATACTGTTACTCTCTGCACATTTCTCAGATTTTTATTGTATATAACTTTTCAGAATCTTGAGCCTCCCGTGTAATATAAGGTGTTAGAAACTCAGGTTATTACCAAAGTTGCAGCCTCAGGCAGGAGAGAAAATTGGCACAGAAAGACCCATACTTACTCTTCATCCTTTTTTCCTGCCTTCTGGCTTTACCCTCAACTAATGTACCACAAACTTCCAGAACTCTGCTTTCTGAAATATGTAGACTCCTATTGTTATCTTTGCTGTATTGAGTATGAATATTTAAATGGGAAAAAAGTATGAAAACATCACTGTCCACACATATTTCTCTGTAATTCAGTCTATTAATTTTTGCATGAAATTTTAGCAGGGTGCCACCCCTATAGCAGCGGTTTAACTTTCCAACAGGATGCCTCAGTTCCTTTTCCTATTTTCGTTTAAATTATTTGTAAGTTGAACTTTGTTTCTGTTCACAGACAACTCTTCAAATCTTCTCCCCTTCCCCACAGGAACAATATGGCAATCTTATTTCCCTAAGGCACTGATTCAGTTTCTGCTGAAAATTGAAGCGTCTCCACTGACTTCAGGAAGATCCAAAATGGCTTATTCAAAGACAAATTAAAAATCTCCTACTTGATAAAACTAAAAACATATTTAAATGAGATTTTTTTCCCTATTTTTTGGGCTGCTGAAGTATCCAGACTTTCATAAAAAGCCCTGAGAAAGTGTAATTTCTTGGTACCTAAGCCTCACCAGCTCTAAATATCGGAATAACCAAAGCTGTTTATCATCATTCCTCTTCTAGAACAACTAAAATGGAGCAAAAAGTTCTAATTTTGCTAAAATGCCCTACATGAGGAGCTCACCTATGATATATATTAAGATTAATTTTCTTTCATTTTGTCATACAGAACTAACTGGCCATGTTTCTATTCTAAGACTTCACACAGCTACATTTTGCATTGCATTTATAGGTTTCCTGATCTTCTGAAGGCTATCTCTGGTTTTGTTTGATGGATTGCAATGCTGAAATGTAATGTTGCTGTGTTTTTTACTTAATTCCTCCACTTCATCAATGGACTGAAAGTCAGCCAAATACACCTGCAAGCTATTATAGTGCTTATATGTTCCTACTGTGACAGAAAGACAGGGAGCTGAACACCTTCAAATTTGCTGAAGTAGTTCTGTGGTGTTGCTCACAGGTGGCTGGAATTAAATTGACTAAGTGACTTCTCCAAGCACAGTACCTGTCATATCTTGTCTCCTTTTCATAACTTCAAAGATATGAAAGTCATAAAACCAAGCCCAGAAAGGGTCAGAAGCCACATGCTCCTTTGATTGATGTTTTGTCATATTTTGGTTCATTACTTCACCAGAAACCTTCTCTGCAAAATTTCAGAATTTATGAACTCCCAGAAAATAAATATTATTAAAAACTGGGAAAAAGGGTGGTAGTGAATCTAACCAACATGCATGAATCAAACAATGAGGCCTCCAGGACAACCTCAGAATAAAGAGATACAATTGAGATTACATTCAACGTATTTGTTATCTATTTCTTTGACCTTACAGCCACCTTAAAATGCTGAACCACTGTTGCTGAAGGAAATATTTTTTTGCTGCTGTGTACAGAAGTTTGGTTCTAATGAACACCACAGGGTTTACTGATCGCTCTTAATGAGTTAGGAACAAGTGTCCTGCAGGCAAATTGTCACATATTTTTAGAAATAAACCAATCAATGAAGGTGATGTATAGAATGATAGAGTTATCTGTACTTCTCCGAAAGAGAAAACAAATATATCAATGTCCTTAATGCTTTATATAAAAGACACTTAAGGAGTTGGCAAAAACTCTATTTAGACCTGTGTTTCAGCCCTTAAGAATCAATAACAGCAGTTAAACTGAGATTTAGGGACTCTTATAAACATAACCAGGAACAATATTTAAAGGAGTGAAGAAACTGAAGGTTGTCATAGGAGAAAAAAGTCTGATTTTGTCACAGTGTCTCTGTATTTTCAGGAGGTGTCTTTTGGAAGAAATAGCTGCCTCTGAATGTTACTGTAACATAGTCTTTTTTACAACGACCTTTATGCTATGTCTTGACAATTACTTTTACTACCTTAGTAACATGTGGTGGATTTCTGCTATTCTGCTAGAATTCAACCAAGGAAATAATTTATGTACACTTTTTAGCAGACATATTTATATCTGAGATATATGTACCCGGATCTACTTTTAATGAAATGCACCTAATCCTATTGTGTTTGGTGCAAGGGAGATATACACTTTAAAAAAAATGTTGAATACATTTATATAATTAATTTTAATCCTTAAAGTCAAATTTATGTATTTGTACAGTATTTGTATATATGTGCTGCATACATAAAGATTGTTTTATCCACTACTGAAATGCGGGAGGCTTTGGCCATCAGCTTGCTCTGCCTGATGGGAGTGGGAACCTCCTGCTGGATTGATTCGTGCAGTCCCTCCTGGCAGGGCCTTGTGCACATGGATGTTTGTTCTGCCAGTCACACCAGGCTTCTTTCAGGTTTTCAGTGGGAAAGTCTCATGAGTTGAGGGTTCTATTTTCAGAATTTGAGGATGTGATGCTTACATAATGAACACTGTGATAGAACTTACATTTTTAAAACTTTTAATCTGGTCCCTCACTGTCGCACTACAACACGAAACAACTCACGCATTTACTCAAGATGCAAAAGAAGGAAGAGGAAGTTTTATTTCTGACCTCGAAATATATAGAATTCCAAAAGTGACAGTGGATTGGAGGGTGAAATTGCCACCTCTCCAACCACACTGGTCAAACCAACAGACTATCAATTCTTCCTCTCACAAAGAAGAATGTAAAACAATCATTATTTACATAAACATGAGTGAAAACTCCAGTAGAAATATATAAACATCAGAAGGCATAGAAAACTTTTAAAGGAACTTTAAAACTTTTAAAAGAACAGGGTGACACCTTACTCCATGCAATTCAAACATCTCTGGAAGAGGATACATAACTGAGCTAACTTTAATAAACTTTCAGTAGCATTCTGCCTATTTTGTACACGATACTTAGTACACTAACTCACTTATTACTTAGGCTTTTTACATGCAAATTGAGAAATATGTTACTGTAAAGTTTTTCAATATTTTCCCTTTTTCACATGTAAATGTCATTTTGCTTAATTAGATAATATAGCTGTTTAAAGACAGAAAATCAGGGTTATTTTGCATCTGAAAATGTAATGTGTTACAGATCCCCTTGAAGCAAGACTATTTTATAAGCTTGACCATGATTTCTTCTCTCTTAACATGGAAGTTTTGAAATTGGTTCTATCAAACAGATTAAGGCAATTCAGAGTATATAGCATAAACCCCCAAATGATGGAATAAATATATAACTAAATTTGGTTTTGTGATTTTCCCTTTTTATGTGAATTTGTCTCTGTTTTCTTAATGTTGGGATTCTTTTAACTTGTGGAAGAACAGGCTTCTGCACATGGCCAAGAGCTACATTTATTTATGCAAAAGTAAGGATTGGCATTAAATATTTATATATCTTATTTATTTGAAGCTGCTGTCCCATAAAGAACAGACTGCTTTGGGGTTGCTATTAACTGGCCAGGTTTTTCTGACCTCAGTTTAATTTTCAGACTGCTGTGCTTGAAGTTGTCACCTTTTATGAAATATTCCAAGAAAATGACAACACTGTTTTGAAGTGTAAGTGAAGAACACATGCTTGTTCTGCTCAGTGACCTCAGAACATCCTTTACATACTTGCAATTTTGTCCTCATGAGTTCAGTTCAAGAATTTAGTTCTCACATGAGGATTGATAATTTTCCCACCTTTTAGGTGTCTTTAGGAATTTGGTTATTGCTCAGATACTCATTTAGTACATTGCTACGAGTGACAGACATCTGCTTCCGAGTAAGTAAGTCTTTGCTTGCTGTAAATATGATGCTCATCTGCCTGCATTTGCTGCTTTGTTGCCTGGGGAGAGGCAATGTGGAAAATATTATTTAAGGAAAATTATGGACAGCATGCTGCATGAAAAAGTCCTTAGTTGCAAAGCAGTACAGCTAGAGACATGGACTGCTTTTAATGACAGGCTTGTTATGAGGTTTTTAGATAATAATTTTGAATGCTACTTGTAATTTAGTGTTCTGAATTCTGTTTTATTTTTTTGTGGAACAGGCTTTGTATTTTCTGTAAAGTTTTACTGCTTTGGTTTTACTTTTGCTGGGTTGCAGAACATGCCATTGTTTTATTTATGCATCATAATTTTAAATCTATGTATACTTTTCTATACTTTCCTGTTTTACATGATCTCCTGCACTGTGGAAGCACTTGAACATTTGAAATACAAGCAGTGAAATGTAGAGTTCATAATGCATCTGCAGAAGTTGGTGGTCTGTAACATCAGAGGTACTTATACATGCTTACACGTTTTGCTTCACAACAGATTAATGGGTCATTTTACAGTAGCATGGCATTATAATCTTATTTGTATGTAGCAATTTTTTTGTTGAATCTCCCTTGTAGCATATTTAAATTTTTATGTTATTTATCCACCTGTTTTTTCTACAGCCTGTAGAATACTATGGGTTCAGTTCAGAAGTTGGCCTCATATCTGTAATTCAAATTAAACTCTGTTATTTTTTGCTAAAGCTTACAGTGTATTTACAACTCCATCATGAAGATAGCTGTTCAAATGATTAGTATAATTGTAAATAATTAGTATCAGTTGACTCAATATTACCATTTATTAAAGTAGATTTTACTTCTGGGAATAGAAATTTACCAAATCAAACTGGATTTTTAAACAAAGACGTTCAGAGACGACAGTAGCTCATTGGCTGACCTGGAATCATGACAAGATATGAGGTATGGATCTTGTATAGTGTTTAACCTGTACTTAAATTTTAAGGTCAGAATTAGTGATGCAGAGTCCTTGGATGTTTTTCTCATTTATAATCGGCAGGAGCACAGAATTCTACCTGGAATTTTGTCTAGGCTGTTTATTTAGCATATAAATATGATATGATTATTAGACGAGCTTGGACTGCTTTGAGAAGATTATTTTGAGGCACATAAAAAAACCCCCTCTACTTTGACTAGCCTTAGATATGAAGAATATAGCAAAATTATATATTTCATATTAAGTCCATCACTTAGACTCATGAGCACTGAGAATGTACTTCTCTAACTTTTCAGTTTGTTTTGAAAGATGACCTAAGTAAGATTATTTTTTTAATCTAATTTGCTATTCTTGTCTCTAATGAGTCTGAGTTGTAACTGTTTGAATTGTAGCTAGTGTTTCTATTTGATCCATTAGTTCAAATATGCCATGGCACATGAAGGAACCCTTGATTTATTTCCACATCCCTTGCAGATGGATTTGCCAAGCAAACAATTTTCTTAGAATTATTTAGATTATTTTTGGCCTTTTGTATTTAGTGAAAAAAGTGCAATAGATCACATTTTTATTAACATTTCTAAATGCGTGCATATTATACTGTATTCATCTACCCCCAAAATCAATATTGGTTGAAGCTTGTTAAGATGACTGACAGGCTGGTTATTACTTCTGCCCTCCAGTGACTGTCCACATGGATATTCCCAGCCATTCACTAACACTGGCTGATTTTGGCTTAAAAATGAACTGGCTTGAGACTGATCCATAGATTTATAGATTGTGCTTCCTGTCCTCAAATTAGCAGTGTATAGATTATTTTACTTTCAAAACAATATTTGTTTTATAATTGAGACACATACAACATGTATAAGAGTTTAGAGCTTGCTCACTTAAAATATATTCAGAAAATTATGCCTTTATTAATAGTTGAGAAAATAGAAATACTAAAAATGCTTGAAATCACTCAGGAGAATTTCTTTTCCTAAATCACCATATTAGTGAAACAAAAAATTTATTAAGAAACTTTAAAAGCTCTTTGAAATAATCTATATAATAGATTAGGAAGTAAATATAATTCCAGTTAATCGTGCTACTATTTACTGAGTCCTCAGTGGAGAAGTTGTGAAATATGAAAATCAGATTTTAAAAAAAGTCAACTGGCAAATTGAACAAAACTTTTTTTCTCCTGGAAAGGGCAGATCTGACAATAAGGTTATTTACATACACCAGAACAAAATCAATGAAGTAATTTTACTTTCTGTTTTTTCCTCTGCTCTATGCAGGTGTAATAAGTCATCTTGACTGCCTGAGCAAGGAGGGATCCTGGAAGCTGTGTGTCTTTCTCTTTATTTCTGAAGCTGTACATACAGCAGCCCATGAACAGACTCCTTTTCCAGATTCATTTTCGGCAATCCTTTTTATGCTGAGTAGTTCATTAAAAAAAATATTAGTCATATCTTTCCCGAGATGCCCTTTTGCACAGCATTTTCTGAGTTCTCTCCATTAGCTCAGCAGAGCACAGTGACATTGGCCCCTCACCTTCTGATCACTGCTAAGCCTCACCAGTGGGGCTGCCAGGCAGGAACTGCCACAGGCTGTGGCTCACTCCTTTCATGGGCACTGGAGCTGCTCTGAGAACTAAAGACAAGGAGGCTCTGCCTTTCCTCAGGTGCCACGAGAACTGTCCATCAAATAAGCAAAGGGGAGGGTAAATCTCCAGCAGTTCTTACTTTTGTTAATCAGGGAAGTTTGTAAGACGTTATAGGTGAAAGAATATTCTTAAATTATAGAAATGAATTTGTGAACAAGTAAGTGTTCTGGAAAAAGAGGCTCTTCATGAGCTGTTTCCTGTGGGTATTGCCAAAATGTTGATTTCCATAATCCCGAGTGAGTTTGTGAAAGCAAGATTATGGTATATTTCCCACTTAGACAGTTGCACAAAATTGAGTATTCACACAATTGTTAAATTCTGCAGAGGCTACTTTTAGATACACCATTCATTTCTTCAACCAGTCTGGAGACAGAACCATGTAAGAAACAGGCAGTATTCCTTTTAATACTGACATCTAATGCAACAAAAGATACTTCCAGTTTTCAAGCACATCCATATTAAATAGAAAGTGGGCCAAAGGGATGGATACTGAACCTACTTTTTCTTAATGTTTATAGGAAGCATTTGGAAAGAAATATATTCTGTGGGGGAGTTAAATGATATGCACTGGATCAGTACTCTGGTCCTGCAGGAGGTAGAACTTGTTCAATTGCCTGCAGGATGCTGAAGGAGATCATGAGGTTTCCCCACCTCTATTGATCATGTGCCAATTCTCTATAGGCAGCAGCTATTTCAAAGAGATTTAGATGACATCACAGGAAAGAAAAGATTTCTTCTTTCCAACTGAAATGCTTTATATGCTGCAGGATACTTTGGTATCTTAACAGCACACAGTATATATTTCATGATGTGCTCCATTTTTATGTGTAACTGTTAAAGAGCAGAGTTTAGTTCTTTTTCTGGTTCTTTTTTTTTATTTCTCTAAAATCTAATTTGCATGAGTTTTTGGTTTTTTTTTTTTTTAAGGGGTGGGAAGGGCAGGTTAATCAGTCTTACTAGGTGATACAATCTTTGACTACAAAATAAATTCAGCAATGTACCTTACAATACATGAAAGCTTGATCATAAAAATAATGCAAAGGTAGCATCCTCATTCCTTCCTTAGCTCTTTGAAGTTTTGATCTAAAATACTGCAAACTGCTAAAATTTATAAACTGCGCAAAGTATGATATCCTGTATTTCTGAATTGCCTGCTGGTGCTGAAAGATATAGAGTTTTCCTCCACATGTGGACACCAGAAAAGAATCTATTTCATGTAGGTAGCTAGAATAACAGTGCAAAGTCATGTCTTTACAAATATATGGCACAGAAAGATTTTTTCTTTATTTGTTTACTTTTAAATTTGGTGATTTGAAATGACAAAATAACATTGGAAATATTTCACTAAATAGACAATGTGTTAGAAAGTAGACACTTTCTTTTTTTCTCTTCCACTTTATACTCACAGAATCAACACTAAATTAAAATTATGGAAGTTTACATTTTTGCTTGAAATATTTCTCTTTCTCCAAAGAAAATCCGTATTTAATAATGTTTCTCCATAGAGATCCCTGGATGTTTCAGTACTGCTGAAGTTTCATTTTGACAATTGAAATAGTGCTTTGATCCCATGCTTTGAATCTTTCAGAGGGACAAATTCTCACTCCTGTGAATCTGCGCCCCTCCCCTATGCATTGTTTTCTATTGTCACCAATAGTGGTTCCAGAGATACTTTGTGAGTATGGAACTGTTTCCTCAATGTGATTGTAAATCTTAATTTTTAATTTAATGTGTCTTGGGAACCAGTTTCCTTTATCAGAATAAGTTCAAAGAAAATCCAGAGAAAGAGGGAAGGAGAGAGGATAAATAGTCTAGTTATCTAGTTATCCCCTAAAAATAGACTATTATCCTAGATATCTAGTCTATTATCCTATCTAGGATAATAGTCTTGTTTTAGGGAATAAATAAGCTAGTCATGTTTTAACTAAAAATACTCGGCTGCCTTGCCTGGGGAAGCCATCAGGAACAAGGCTGATACTTCTATAATTACTCTTTTAAGGTAGCAAGAATCATAGCTTCAGCCTTTTCCTTGTGTCTTGTGATCAGATGAATTTGCCAATACCCATTCCTCTGTATCAGACATTTTACTTGTTCTTTAGTCTAAAAGTTGTTTGCTGTCATTATTTAGACATTGGTGTTATTATAATCTCATATGTATTAGAATTATTGAGAGGATGCACAACCAGTGCCTCATCTGCTTGATCTGCCACATCTGTTTTTCTGAGAACTGTTGAAAATCTGGAATTAAAACATTTCCTGTTCTTGAACCTACTGCTTATTATTATTTATAATCGCTTTATTTCCGAATGGTTTCTCAGCACTGTTGGATAGATATGGTGATCTACAAAGGAAAATAGTTTA